AAAAAAAAAAAAAAAAAAAAAAAAAAAAAAAAAAAAAACTAAAGCTAGCAAAACAAAAAAAGAGGTTTTATTTTATTGTAAATTCTGCCTCTGCTCTTACATTTATTGGTATTAAAATACGTTTGTATCATTAAACAAAAATTGATGCAGAATTCACTGTCTGTCAGGTCTGAATGAGTTAGGTGATTAACTCTAACACCTTTTCTCTGTGTTTCCCTTCTAGCCCTTTTCTTCCCACTCAGTCTATTCACCTGCTATCATCAGGGTCTAAGTACCACCCCCACAACATCCGGTCCCATCTCCACTCCAAAAAAAAAAAAAAAAGACGGGAGAGCGAATGAAAATGGGTCACTCAAGTCGCTGTGGAGACTGCAGTTGCCTACGAGTATTTGTGTGGCCTCCAGCACTTTCATGTGTGACTTTGGCTTAACAAAAGCTGCAGGTTTTGAAAAGCTCCACATTCTTTGTCCAGTCAACCTGAGCTACAAAAACAAAAGAGATTTTCAGAGTTCTGTCTTCAGTGCACTTTACCCTGCAGCTCGTTGACTCTCTTTTTGTACAGAGCTTGAAAACGCAAAGTTGCAGCAAATTTTGACCGACGGACACGTCCATCTGTGTCCCTTCTAATCGTCAAAATACGACACAGATCTCCTCCGGCCAGAGGCTTACCACTCAGTCGACTGCAGGACTTTGAGCAACACTCAGTGGTAAACACAGATCCTTCTTGCTGTTTGTAGTCAAGACAACAAGCATGGCTGGCAGACAGTGTATGCAAATGTTAGTTTCTCATTTATGCAGTAAACATGTTGTGAAAGACACCCGCCTCCGTAACCTGAAATGATCAAACAAGCTGCACCTGAATAAACTTCCAAACATCCAAGACAACTTGACAATACTGGGACCACGTCACAAACGCATGGGAAAACATCTTCAGGCCCCAGATTTGCTGCTCTAATTTCATCCCCTGGTGGTTTTAGATAAAACAGCATCACGGGGACCCTGGGGTGAAAGGTCAAACCCACAGCCCCATGCAGAAAACAGGCTTGTGTTTCAGATGTTTTGTTCGAGGGAATCGTCTTTCCTTTGTTCCTCTGCATTTCAGCACTTATTCATGCACTTGTGCACACCTAGACGTAAATCCATGCAGACAGGCACACAAAAAGGCTGGGGGATGGGGAGAGTCCGTCTTTATGTGCACTGATTTTGTGGCCTTCCATCCTACTTTTACCGCTGACAAGATTGACGTGCTTCTTGTAGTGTCTGTCGCAGTTAAACAGGGCCAGCATGTACCTATTTGTGCCCCTTCACTCTGCGACACTCTGACAACCGAGGAAGGGAAAGCATGGGCACTGTTTGATGCCCTGCAGGCAAAAGGTTTTAAACCAATATCTTGCAAGATGAGTTTGTGTTGAGGATGATTCACAGCTGCTATCACACCAAACTGTAGCTCAGTATCTGTAAAAAAAAATAAAAGACTGAATAATAGCCATTTGTGTGTTTGTTAAGTTTGATAAGCTGTGGTGGCCATCTTGAATCAGAATGGCTCCAAACATTAATCATCTGTAGACATGGAAGTTTCATTGAAGAAGCCATATCGTGCATTTAAATCATTCAGTTGGGGTCAAMATAAAGTGGAACTGCAATGCTTTGGTCGGAATTACTCATTATTGTAATTCCACAAGCCTCTCTCTCACCCCTGTTCTGAGGTGTGCCTGAGTGCAACTCGTTTTGGTGCTGTCTCTTTAACTGCAAATGAGGCGTTTCACAACCCGTGTCCCTTCAGGTCGCACACACATTCAGTGGGGAAAATAAGTATTTAGTCAGTCACCAATTGTGCAAGTTCTCCCACTTAAAAAGATGAGAGAGGCCTGTAATTGACATCATAGGTAGACCTCAACTATGACAGACAAAATGTGAAAAAAAAATTGAGAAAAACATTTTGTCTGACTTTTAAAGAATTTTTTTGCAAATAATGGTGGAAAATAAGTATTTAGTCACCTACAAACAAGCAAGATTTCTGGCTGTCACAGACCTGTAACTTCTTTTTTAAGAGGCTCCTCTTTCCCCCACTCATTATCTGTATTAATGGCACCTGTTTGAAGTCGTTAACAGTATAAAAGACACCTGCCCACAACCTCAAACAGTCACACTCCAAACTCCACTATGGTGAAGACGAAAGAGCTGTCGGAGGACACCAGAAACCGAATTGTAGACCTGCACCAGGCTGGGAAGACTGAATCTGCAATAGGCAAGCAGCTTGGTGTGAAGAAATCTACTGTGGGAGCGATAATCAGAAAATGGAAGACATACAAGACCACTACTAATCTCCCTCGATCTGGGGCTCCACGCAAGATCTCAGCCCGTGGGGTCAAAATGATCACAAGAACGGTGAGGAAAAATCCCAGAACCACAAGGGGGGATCTAGTGAATGACCTGCAGAAAGCTGGGACCAATGTTTRAAAGGCTACCATCAGCAACACACTACGACGCCAGGGACTCAGATCTTGCAGTGCCAGACGTGTCCCCCTGCTTAAGCCAGTCCATATCCAGGCACGTCTGAAGTTTGCTAGAGAGCATTTGMATGTTCCAGAAGAGTATTGGGAGAATGTCATATGGTCAGATGAAACCAAAGTAGAACTATTTGGTAAAAACACAACTCGTCGTATTTGGAGGAAAGTGAATGCGGAGTTGCATCCAAAGAACACCATACCAACTGTGAAGCATGGGGGTGGCAACATCATGCTTTGMGGCTGTTTCTCTGCAAAGGGACCAGGACGACTGGTCCGTGTACATGAAAGAATGAATGGGGCCATGTATTGTGAGATTTTGGGTGCAAACCTCCTTCCATCAGCAAGGGCAATGAAGATGAAACYTGGCTGGGTCTTTCAGCATGACAATGATCCCAAGCACACTGCCAGGGCAACAAAGGAGTGGCTTCGTAAGAAACATTTCAAAGTCCTGGAGTGGCCTAGCCAGTCTCCCGATCTCAYCCCCATCGAAAACCTTTGGAAGGAGTTGAAAGTCCGTGTTGCCCGCCGACAGCCCCAAAACATCACTGCTCTAGAGGACATCTGCATGGAGGAATGGACCAACATACCAGCAACAGTGTGTGCCAACCTTGTGAAGACTTACAGAAAACGTTTGACCTCTGTCATTGCCAACAAAGGATATACAACAAAGTATTGAGATGAACTTTTGTTATTGACCAAATACTTATTTTCCACCAATATTTGCAAAAAAATTCTTTAAAAGTCAGACAAAATGATTTTCTCAAATTTTTTTTTCACATTTTGTCTCTCATAGTTGAGGTCTACCTATGATGTCAATTACAGGCCTCTCTCATCTTTTTAAGTGGGAGAACTTGCACAATTGGTGACTGACTAAATACTTATTTTCCCCACTGTACACACAAACAATTGTGGCCAGGCGTTCAATCAGCTGAGTGAAAAACATAACGA